CCATCTATATGCAGCCTACAGCTATCTCACTTCAAACCTGTAAACACATACAGACTAAAGGTGAAGAGATAAAAAAAACATATACCATGCAAATGAAATTGCACAAAGGGCCAGTGTAGCAATTCTCATATCAAAATAGGCTTTAAAACAAAGACTGTAGAGCAAGAGATAATGAAGCACTATATAATGATAAATGGAACAACACATCAAGAGGATATAATAATTGTAAATATCTATTCACACAACATAGGAACACCAAAATACATAAAGCAAATATTAACAGATATAAGCAGAAACTGATAGTAATACAATAGTAGTAGGGGGCTTTAACACCCCACTTACATCAATGGATAGATCATCCAGATAAATATCAACAAGAAAACAGTGGCTTTGAAACACACATTCTATCAGATGAAGCTGACAAATATACAGAACATTCCATCCCCCAATAGCAGAATACATATTCTTTTTAGGTGCACATGGACTCTCCAGGATACAACAGATGATAGGCCATAAAGTAAGTCTCAGTAAATATAAGAATATTGAGCTCATAATAAGTATGTTTTCCAACCACAGCAATATGATACTAGAAATCAATTATAAGAAAAAAAACCTGGAAGAAGCACACCAGCATGTGGTGGAGGAGAAACAAAATGCTACTCAACAATGAATGGGTCAACCAAGAAATCAAAGAGGAAATCAACAAACACCTGGAGACAAATGAAAATGAAAACACAACAGTCCAACACCTTGGCATACAGCAAAAGCAGTAAGAGGGAATTTTATAGTAATCATGCCTACTTCAAGAAATAAGAAAATTTTCAAATAAAGAACCTAACCTTACACCTAAAGAAACTAAGAAGAAAAGAAAGGACAAACAAACACAAGGTTAGAAGAAGAAAAGAAATAATAAACACCAGAGCAGAAAACAACAAAATAGAGACTAAAAGAACAATTGAAAAGATCAATGAAACCAAGAGTCAATTTTCTAAAAAAATAAAATTGATAACACTTTAGCCAAATTCATCAAGAAAAAATGAGAGAGGTTTCAAATAAAATCATAAATGAAGGAAAAGAAATAGCAACTGACACCAGAGAAATACAAAGGGTAAGAGCATATTATGAAAAATGATATGCCAACATAGTGGACAATTTAGTCAAATGGATAAATTACAGAAACATATAATCTTCCAAAACTGTATCGGGAAGAAATAGAAAATGTGAACTGAGTAATTACTAGTAATGAAATTGAATTAGTAATCAGCCAACTTCCTAATCCATCATACAAGGCCAGCATTAGTGTGATACCAAAACCAGACCAAAAACCTAACAACAACAACAAAAATGCAAAACAAACAAACAACTACAGGCCAACACATATGATGAACATAGCTGTAAAAACCCTCAAAAGACTGGCAAGCCTAATTCAACAATATATTAATCAGTGACCATGATCAGGTAGGGTTTTATTCTAGGGACGTAAGGGTGTTTCAGTATGTGCAAGTCAATCAGTGTGACACATCACGTTAACAAGAGAAAGGGTAAAAACCGTGTGTAAAGATATGCAGATATAGTATTTGATACTTTCAACATCCTTTTCTGATAAAAACTCAGTGAAGTATCTCAACATAATAAAGACTGTACACAGCAAATCCATAGCTAACATCATATTCAATAGTGAAAAACTGGGAGCCTTTCCTCTAACATTAGGAACAAAATATGGGTTCCACTCCTCCCACTTTTATTCAGTGGAGTTCTGGAACTCCCAGCCATCATAATAAGACAAGAAAAAGAAATGAAAAGCATCCAAATTGCTAAGGAAGCAGTAAAATTGTCACTCTTTATAGATGACATGTTACTATATATAGAAAACCCTAAAGGCACTAACAAAAAACTATTACAAGTGATAAATGAATTCAGTCAAGTTGCAGGATACAAAATAAATATAAAGTATGTGTTGCATTTCTATACAGAAATGTAAAAGTAGCAGAAAGAAAATTTAAGGACACAATCCAATTTACAGTTGTGCCGAAAGGATATAATAATTAATCAAGGAGGTGAAAGACCTAATCTCTGAAAACTATAAAACATTGATGAAAGAAATTGAAGATGAAACAACAAACGTAAAAGTATACCATGCTCATGAATTTAAAGAATTAGTATTGGTAAAATGTCCATATTACCCAAAGCAATATATAGATTAAATGCAATCTCTCTTTTTTTTTTATTTTTTTTTTAATTATTTTTTTTTCAACGTTTATTTATTTTTGGGACAGAGAGAGACAGAGCATGAACGGGGGAGGGGCAGAGAGAGAGGGAGACACAGAATCGGAAACAGGCTCCAGGCTCTGAGCCATCAGCCCAGAGCCTGATGCGGGGCTCGAACTCCCGGACCGCGAGATCGTGACCTGGCTGAAGTCGGACGCTTAACCGACTGCGCCACCCAGGCGCCCCTGCAATCTCTTTCTAAATACCAACAGCATTTATCACAGAACTAGAACAAATAAAATTTTTAAAGAACCACAAAAGTTCTCAAATAGCCAAAGCCATCTTGAAAGAGAACAAAACTAGAGGTATCACCATCTCAGATTTCAAGATATATTGCAGACCAATAGTAATAAAAACAGGATGTACTGGCATCAAAAGAGACACACAGATCAATGGAACAGGATAAAGAGCCCAGAAATAAGCCTACTCATATATGGTTGATTAATCTACAATAGAGGAGCAAGAATATATAATGGGGAAAAGACACTATTTTCAAAAAATGTTTTTGAGGAATCTGGTAGCTACATGCAAAAGGATGAAACTGGACGATTTCTTACACCAAATACAAAAGTAATCTCAAAATGGATTAAAGGCCTTCATATGAGAACTGAAACTCCTACAAGAAAACATAGGCAGCAATCTCTTTGACATCAGCCTTAGCAATGTTTCTCTAAGTATGTCTCCTGAAGCAAGGGAAACAAAAGTGAAAATAAACTTTGACTACACCAAAATAAAAAGCTTTTGTACAGCAAAGGAAACAGTGAAGTGGCAAAATGAAAGCAAAATAAAAAGGCAAAGGCAACTTACTGAATAGAAGAAAGTATTTGCAAATGATCTATCTGATAAAGGGTTAATATCCAAAATAGATAAAGAACTTATACAACTCAACATCAAATAACAATCTGATTAAAAATGGGCAGAGGATCTGAATAGACATGCAGATGGCCAACAGATGCATGCAAAGATGCTCAACATCACTAATCATCAGGAAAAAGACAACAACAACAACAACAACAACAACAACAACAAAAACCAACACCCCCCCAAACAACAACAAAACAAATAATGAGACATCACTTCACACCAGTCAGAATGGCTAGTATCAAAAGGACAAGAAAAAACACATGTTGGAAAAGATGTGGAGAAAAGGGAACCCTTGTGCAATGCTGGTGGGAATGTAAAACGGTGCAGCCACTCGAAGATACTGTGGAGTTTCCTAAAAATATTAAAAACAGAAGTACCATATGATCCAGTAATTCCACTACTGGGTATTTACCCAAGGGAAAAGAAAAGACTAATTCAAAAAGACATATGCACCCCTATTTTACTGCAGCATTATTTACAACAGCTAAAATATGGAAGCAACCTAAATTGTCCATCAAGCGATGAATGGACAAGTATGTGGTATACATATACAGTGGAATATTATTCAGCCATTAAAAAACAATGTGCTTTTGCCATTTGCAATAACATTAATGGACCTAGAGTGTATGACACTAAATGAAACAAGTCAGACAGGGAAGGACAAATACCGTAGGATTTCACTTGTATGTGGAATCTAAAAAGCAAACAAACAAAAAAAAGAGACAAACAAACTGATGTTTAAATACAGAGACCAAACTGGTGGTTGCCAGAAGGAAGGTGGGTGGAGGAATGGGTAAAATAGATAAAGAGGATTAAGAAGGATTAAACTTCCAATGTGAAATAAATAAGTCACAGAGATGAAAACTACAGCAGAGGGAATATAGTCAATAATACTATAAAAACATTTTATGAAGACTTATGTTGACTACACTTATCATGTGAACACTGAGGAATGTATAGAATTGTCAAAGCAATATGTTACACATTTGAAACTGAAGTATATTAATTATACTTCAGTAAACAATAAATAATAAAATAAAGGAGAGTCAATGGCCACTATTTCCACTCTACAGTTTTACAATACGATTTCCTAGTTATCCAAATCATGGCACTAAATCAGTTTGCACACAGATGCCTAGTGTAAATCCAAAGTCTAACATGTAGGAGATAGTCATGTGTTCTTACTCTAGAGAAGTCCACCCTATCGATGCATTTTTCAATAATTCAATAAATATTTATACAGTGATTATGTGCCAAACATGTTTTGTAAGTTCTAGGAAGATAATGATGAGCTGAAGCAGAGATCATCCCTGTCCCTGTGGAGTTTAGTATCTAGTGGGTGAGGGGACATCTACCAGGCACAAAATACAGATACGTTCAGCTGTCAGCTGTATGTATCCAGTTAACAAATACGACCTTTAAGAATAGAGTTTACAGTTTCACTCTGTGCCCAGTATATATTTATCTTTAGAGAGTTTTTATCTTAATTATTCCAAAGAATAAATGTAGACAAAATGTCTTTTCTATCTCATTCCTTTGGCTTTTATAAATACTGAGGAACATTTTAAATGTGAAGACTTCTTGTGTGATGCAGCCACTTAACATTTGTTCTCTTGTCAGAAGGACAATGACTGTGGAAAATGACAAAGCTGTGTTTCCTCTCAGCCAAGTCAGGCTCTTCATGCTTGCTCATGATGCAAATAAACATTTGTGTCACAGTTGCTATCTTTCAGACTGGGTGCATCTATTCATATTACCTCAGAGAATGAAAGGATCAAACACAAAAAATACAGCGTCTCACAGATGACAGGATATCGGCTCAAGGCAATGTCAACGACAGGAGGAGGTGGAGGCCAGAGAAAACTTACTGGTAAGTGGTAGGGCTGACGTTGATGCGCCGAGGGTGACTTCCTGATTCGAATTTGCTTGCCAGAGTGACATTATTTCCAAACAGGCAATATCGTGGCATTCTTACCCCAACAACTCCAGCGAGCACAGAACCTGAGTGAATGCCTATCCTCATCTAAAAGAAAAAGAAGGAAAAATGAAAAGGATATATTTATGTTTTTCTTTTGGTATGCAATTCTTTAAGGAGACGTACTACTGCTAATTATGTAAACCACTGAACTAGGATCGCCTCAAAGACAGAAAGTTGGTCTTGGTCATTTTTGTGAGCCTGGTATCTGGACCATTATAGTGGCAGTGAACATGAATACTATGGAATAAATAATAAATTATAGGAAAAAATTGTATTTAATTAGCTACAGAAATCTGGTTATACTACAGGTCAGATCACTTTTCATTTGTACACATTTTCTAACACATAAAAAACTTATTATTTGCCCTCCATTTACTCTCACATACAACCCTATTTTTTCCTTCATAAAATTAAGCACAATTATAAATTAAATAATTAAAGTTTATCCTTAAAATTTGGTTTCCAATTATCCTGCAATATAATTAGTTCCAAGACAGTAACATAATGGTAAAAGACAAGTGTTTATCATGGTGGCATGATTAAACTGGGATGAGTGGGAATAAAGATTTATATAAGTTTAAGGACGATGAGAAAGTAAGGGGAAATATCAAATATGAAACTTAAAAACTCATTGGCTAATTTTTTTTTCCAGAATTAAGAAATAACATTTAGGTGAAGAAGGAAATGGTTCTGGCCATTATCAGATGCAACAAGATGACCTCAAATAACATTATGAGTCTAAAAGTGAAGGTTACTATATGTAGACCCTTTAGCCTGACTTTAAAAGTGCTATTCTGAAGCCTATAAAATTGGGAAGTACTCTAACTAATCCTGAGTATGTATAAGACACTCCACCTATATGACATGAAATGTGTGCTGGCTATAATTACAGGCACATAATGTTCAGAGAACACTTTGTCATGCAGTTAACAACCAGAAAACAACTAGAGACTCAATAGAGGAGCAGATGAATAAGTATTAAAACATAGTGTAGTCATACAATGGCATGTTGCAGATGAACTAGCTTTATGTCCCATCATGAACATCCAGATATACATTTTGCTATAAAACCAATGTTTTATAGAAATTTTCTTACATAATTGTGTTATCACCATGCAAATGAAAATATACAAAACTTGCTGTTTGTTGATATTTTTGAGAAAGTTGAAACAGTGAACTTTGAAACATCAAGTCTAAGGGTGGTGTCATCGAAAGGAGGAAAATCGTAGAAGAAAAAGTTTTATTTTATTGTTTTAACACTGAGGCAAATAAAGTATTAAACAGTGGTGGGTCATGAGTATTATCCTCTTTTTAAACTTTTAGCACTTCAAAAAATATTTGCAAAGTTCAGCAGATTTGTGAAAACCAATTATTTTAAACAGTTTGAAATGAATAATTGAGAAAATGATTTCAGTTTATCATAATATGCAAACTACAATGATTTAAGGATGATCTATAGTCTTACTAAGTAAAGTAGGCCATAAACCCTCTCTACATTTCCAGAAGATAACCAGACAATAGGAGCACTCTTAAGGTGATTTAATTCAGGAAAGAAAACTCACAGCTCTCGTGAGCTAACCCTTGAGCTATATCATGTCTAGTTTGCTCTAAAAAAAGTAAATTTTGCCTCCCAGGAATGTCTTGAGAATTAATCCTTGTGTTTCACTCTCTGCGTCCTAGGAAAGGTGAGGAAGCACTCCACACTTCTGTGGGGTTCAATCACCTTGTGCAGAACACAACAATCAGACATGAGTCAACTGTACAGAGTAGCACAGGCCAACCAACTGATCCAGACTTGAAAACCCAGCCAGCATTGAGATCATTGCCAGGACCCCAGGTACAGTGTTTTAATGGTATCCCAAATTTACATGGATGTCAAGGTCAGTAAGACCACCCTTGCTCTTCTGAAGCCGCAAGCGTGAAGAAGCAAAGGTTGAGTCCACAGTATAACTCAAGCCGTGCTCCCAGCAGTGAAACAGGGGGGTAGGATTACCCGCTTCTTTCAACTGGAGTACTGCCCCAAAATTGCCCGGATCTTGTTCTCTTCCTTTTCCTACCCAATATCTTCTCATTTTTTTAATTTATTTTTCAATATATGGAAATTTATTGTCAAATGATTTATACAACACTCCCAGTGCTCATCCCAAAAGATGCCCACACCCCATCACACACCCTCCTCCCTCCTGCACCCCCCCATCAGTCTCTCAGTTTGTTCTCTCATTTTTTATGAGTCTCTTGCGCTTTGTCCTCTCCTAATTTCCTCCCAACTGCTTTTTTTTTCTCCTTCCTCCCCACATGGGTTCCTGTTAAGCCTCTCATAAGAGTCTCTCTCAACAGCTTTTAAAGCACAAATCTGGTCTAGTCACTCCTTCTGCAGCATCTAAATATACTTCCGCAAGACTTGCGTTAGGCTGAAAACCTTTTAATTTTTTTTAACATTTATTAATTTTTGAGACAGAGAGAGCGAGCATGAATGGGGAAGGCCGTGAGGGAGAGGGAGACACAGAATCTGAAATAGGCTCCAGTTCTGAGCTGTCAGCACAGAGCCCGGACCGCTGGGCTCAAAACTCACAGACGCGATCACGACCGAGCTGAACTCGGACGCCCAACCTGACTGAGCCACCCAGCCCCAGGCTGAAACCTCTTAACATGTACTGCTCGCTTAGCCCACTCTTGCCCAACACTCTCTAATTGTGGGCTTCTCTCAGCACTAGTTCATTTAAATTAATTTGTTTTGCTCAGGCACATTTATCATCTGGGGTTCCTGATCTTGTCCCTGAGGGCAGAGATGGCTTTATGCTGTTTATCCTTATAATGTTAGTGCCTGTCATACTGCTTGAATGTAGGAGGTCTCCAACAAATGTTTGCTGGGATGAAGGGAAGGAGGAGGAATGGGAAAGAGGAAGGAAAGCGGTTTTTTTCTAAAATAGAATAAAAGTAAAATATTTCATAAAGTATTAGTAGGAATGACAGGATTTAGCCCCAATCAGAAAAATATCTTTTAGAATCATCCTATGGCAGCTCAATGTGTCTGACCATGGCTCCACTTGTTTTTTGGTGGGGGGACAGACAATGAGAATTTTAAGAAATGATTCAAGCCTGAGGACCTTATTGACTACCGAGATCAATCACAACCCCAATGTGAAAAGATGATGATGGAAACACAACCCAAAGATCCTGTGTGGCTTCTGCAAGGTTTCCTTTACTGCTTATGTAAACAGCCAGCTACATCTGTCCTGTCTCTGGCTCAGGTACTAAACCCCTCAAACAGTTAATCCCATTCTTTACATGTCATTTTTTAAATAGAAAATTTTAATAAGGAAACTGTCAAATCATCTGTACATTATGCCCAGAATTGTGCTAGAAAAATGGAAGAAATTTAAAAAGAGGCAAAACCCTTTATACAGAATAATTTCTAAGTGACAGGAAGTTCTGATGCAACTTTCAAGTTTATATTTGAAATTTCCCAGTTCCCTTTCTCATCACCTAAGAAACATGCATATATATCTTTCATCTAAAAGATACTTTCGCTTCTACAGATATATCAAAAGGCTCAAAAAATATCACCATTTTGTTTTATCATTATCTTTGTATTCATATTTTCTGTCCTGCTTTGTTTGAGATACACTTTAAAACCCAAGGAAATCTATGTGAGAAGATGGAAGTTGGCAGAGTGGACCCTGAGCCCTCAGCCCAAGGACACGCTTGGACAATGGCCAGCTCACTGACTTTAAAACAGCCTGAAGACTGGCAGAGGAGACCCCACAACTAATCCCCAGAGAGGAGGAATGAAAAAGGGCAGGAGCCGGGTGAGCTACAGTTGGGAAACCAAACTTCCAGTGAGACTCATCAATGGAAGGCAGTCACAAGCGACAGAGGGCAGAGAAGTTCCAGGTGGTAACCTCAACCCCGAGAAACACCACAGAAGCAAGCCAGTTTAAAAAGAGCTTGGATATAAAAGGCATGAGATTTATCATCTGGAATGTGTTCCACAGGCAGAGATCTTCAAGAGATTTCTTGAGGTAGGAAAAGGGCATCATTTTTCTTCTCTCCTCCCCCCAGCCCAGGTAGCTAAACCCTGCAGGAGCCGATAACACCCCCCCACCACCTTGCCAGCCCCAGCAACGCGCTTTACTCCCCTTTCCGGCTACACTGATCCAACCCACCACAACTCAGCAGTATCACTCCAAAGCAGCTCCTGCATTGCAACAGCCTGTAAGCAGCTCCCAGGACAGCCCACTCCCAGTGACTCACTGGGGAAGGGATAAGATAACACACCCCAGTGCCCTAGTCTCCTGCATCCTGGCCTCTGAGCTGTCTGGGGAGCAAAGTCTGGCTCAAGTGTTCCAATAGGCTGCAGAGATGCTAAACTGTAGACCACTGGGCCCCATTCACCACCAACAGTCTCTGAGACTTGCAGGAGAAGCCCTGCTCTTTGATGTACCTGCAGTTCTATGCACAAACCAAGACAGTCAGCTTGGACTTCTTAACCTGCCCAAAGAGCCCACAGCAGCCCCGCCTCTCAACATTGAATCCAACCACCCCTCCCAAGACATCTGACTCAATAGTACACCAACAGCAAGCAAATCCTAAATACTGCAACAGGCCTGATAGAGATAATCATGGCTCCAGCCAAAATGGGGATATGCATGCAGCCCAGCTGAGGGGCTATTCCTGGAGCAAAATGGTTCTAAGGACCAGGGGATATTACTATAGGATTACCACATGCCCTTCTACAAGCTGCTACTTTTAAAGACCAGGAGACACAGCTGACATGGTTTACATGGAACAAACACAGAGTCATGCTTAACGAGAAGAAGGAATAGGTACCAAATCAAAGAACAAGATACTATCATTAAAATAAACTAGATGAAACAGAGATGTGTTAACATGCCCGATAAAGAATCTAAAAGCAATAAATGCAAAGATATTCAGGCGATTTTGAAAAGAGGGATGAAATAAGGAGAGAATTTCCTGAAAATAGAAAACAACCTTCCAGAGATAAATCTAATTAGTAAAAAAATATACTACAGAGAACAATAGCA